AACCAAGATGGTGGTATAAATACCCTGTTTCCTCGAAAATAAGACAGTGTCTTATATTAATTTTTGCTCCCAAAGATGCGCTAGGTCTTATTTTCAGGGGATGTCTTATTATTTTTCCATGAAGAAGAATACAGTACACATTTATTGTTAAATGAAAATAAAGGACATTTATTACCTGTATACGGTACGGTAGTACAGTAGTTGTCAACATAAACCAGACAAACTGTGAATCCTACAGTATCAAGAATTTACTCATTTATTCAATGACAATCATGTCATCATCTTCTGAAACATCATTATAACAATCCAATTCCTGAATTTCCTGGTGAATTTCTTGTAACTCCATTTCTTTCAGAATCAGTGGACCAAATCTCTCATGTTTAGCAATAGCACTGTCTTTAAATGACTACTTCTTGTCAAGGTAGCCTACTCGCAGTGCATTTGCAATGCAACTGTCAGTGATTTTCTCCCATAAATTCTTCACCCAAGTCACAACTTCTTGCAGTTGAGGTTTCACAAAGTTTCCACGCTGATTTCTCTCCATTCTATTTTCAACGTAGTCATTAATTTCCATGCGCAAATTGTCTTTGAATGGCTTGTTTATTGCAATATTAAGAGTCTGGAGATAGGCCGTCATTCCTGTGGGAATCATTATCTGATCTATTTTTCTTTTGTGAAGAAATGTCTTCATGTCTGTAGCACAGTGAGTGCTGGCTGCATCCCAGACTAGCAGACCTCTTTGGCTCCCTCGCATAACAAGCGGCAGCATTAAATCAACCCACTTCCTTATAACTGCTTGTGTGGCCCAGGCTTTTTCAGTTTCAAGAATAAAAACGCCCAAAATACGTTCAATCTTTTCCTTCTTGCCCTTAGAAATGATTAAAGATGGGATTTTAGTGCCATCCAGATTTTATTGCCAAAATACAGGAAACACGTGCACTTTCGTAAGCAGTGGAGGGAATGTACACTAAGGAGGCACCCCGCTGTTCAATTGCTGTTTGAGATGATTTGCCCATAAACACTGCAGTTTCATCCACAGCAATCATGTTGGAAAGATTGTATTTAGAGAAGTTAGCATCATCAATAAAGGACTTGAATTCAAGTGCTTACTTAATAACTTGAGTATCTTCCAACCTAAACAATGTTGTAGATCTTCTTAAAGACAGTACACTTCGCTGAAAAAAATTATCCAGCCAGTGTTGTAATGTTTTAAGTCTTCGAGGCTATGTCAAACTGTGGTGCCATTGCAAGGGCAAATTCTTGAATCTAAGTCCTATTCACAACCAAAGCCTCTGCTCTCCTGTCAACAACTCATTCACAGATCAGTCTTCCAGCTCAGAAAATAATGATTGCCGACCTGATCCACACTTGCACTTTTTAGCATTTCCCTTGTCCACTTGTTCAATGAGGTTACCATACTCAGTTTGCCATTTTTGGACCAAAAGGATACTCAACATCTTCTCTTTGCAGAAAGCAGTAAGATTTTGGCCCCAAGAGTCTTCCACGATTCCTTTCTTGTACTCCACGGAGTAGCTTTTTCTTTTTGCGCTCATTTCTAGGGGTAAAAAAAAGGATTGGGGTATCAAGGTGGAGGGAGGGGGGTCACTTAAAATGACAAAGGGGGGATCAGAGAGGGGAATCAAAATGGCACAGGAGAATCAGAGGGGGGATTACAATTTTAGTAATCCTTTTTGATCCTCCTGTGTCAATTTGATTGCCCCCTCTGATCCTCCTGTGTCATTTTAAGTGATCCCCCTCCCCCCACCCCTGTGCCACTGAACACCTTCACCAGACATCCCCCCTACCCCTTTATCAGACATTTACCCCCTAGGCCTGCCTGGGGACTGTCACTGGGTTTGCTGGGGCCTGGATCTAGGCTGGAGCAGGGTCTGCCACTGACTGAGAACCTTCAGTCATCATGAGGGTGGCCGCGAGTATCAGGTAGTGTCACCAGAGACAGACCAGCACTCACCACCTTCGCTGTGTCCCGTCCGCTCTAATCCTCCTGTTCTTGTACACGCATCTGCGAAAGTCTCCTCCTTTCTCCTGCCCGGCACTCACCGCTCACTCTGACCTCCGCTCCACCTCCACACAGCAGTGACGTCAGGACTCCGCGTAACGTCACTGGTTGCTAGACGCCAGTCGGGGCGGCCCTAGCGACCAGTTTAATGGTAAATTAATTTTCATTCTGAGTCAGAGCCTAGGGGGGGCCTTATTCTCAGGGGGATGCCTTATATTTCACTCAGAAGGAAACCTTTAAGTAGGTATTATTTTCGGATGATGTTTTATTTTCAGAGAAACACGGTAAATGCCTATACTCACTGCCTCCCACAACCACATCAAAATTACAACTAAAATACAGAACAACCATCATTCTGAACCATCAAAATAGCTGGCTAAATAGAAGTCCTATAATTAGAGAAGTAAAGAAGAAAGCACATCAAGACTGGTAGGAGAAACAGCCTTGGTGCGGGCTGGTCTGACACCCATGTGTGCCATTTATTAATTGGGAAGGAGACTGTCCCTGAGGAGGCTGGGAAGCAAGGAGTCCAAGCCTCATACCAGAACCATAGCCCAGGGTTCCAGAGCTGGGAGGAGAAGTCTACAGGCTGTAAAAACCAGTGAAGACTGTGGCTGAGAAACACGAAGAACACCAGCTATTCCTTTTAAAGGGCTGGCGCACAAATTACTCAGACTGAATACCTATGAGTTACAGCACCAGGAGGCTCTGGGGAACCCAGATACATACGAGGAACAACTGGATTGTCTGTCATCAGGCAGAAACTCGGGGGTGGCTTTCTTGCAGACAGGGATGCTTGCAGGGTCACTGTTCCTGTGCTCTCCGCACTCCCACCCCCAATCCCTTGCAGGACTGACTGGCAGCCATAGCTAAGTCTCAATCAGCCTGGAGTACACTGTTTGCTCCACCTAAGAATTCCCTGAGACCCTGTCCCATCCAATTTGCAGCCCTGCCTAAGCTGTTTGCAGCAGCTTTTCTATATGAATGGCCTGTCCTGGCTCAGGTTCAGACTTTGCTAAAAATCAATCAAACAAGCTGCAGCTAGTGACAGCATGCCCCAAACCTATCAATAAAAGGCCTAAAACCAGGCACTAGTACAAGTCTGCCTTGCTTCAAGCTGGGCCTCATCTCCTAAAAAGCAGTTCTCCCACTGTAGTCATAGATGGTCCTCACAGACAACTGGCCTTAAGGCCAACTCTTCCCAGAGACGCCAACAGCAATCAAGGCTCAACTACAAGTCTGTGCACACAGCCCACACAGGGGGCACCTAGAGTGCTCAACGCAGGTGACTGGGAAGCTGAGCCACTAGGCCCTAAAGGACACATACTACACAAGGCCACTCTACCAATTCCAGGAGACATAGTAGCTCTACCTAATACATAGAAACAGACATAGGGAAGCAGCCAAAATGCAGAGACAAAGAAACGTCACAAATGAAAATTATGGAAGCAAGCAAACTACTGGATACAGAGTTCAAAACCATAGTTATAAAGTTGCTCAAGGATCTTTATGAAATTTCAGGGATCTTAGTGAGAATGTCAATGACATGAAAAAGGTCCAGTCAGAAATTAAGCATACACTAAATGACATGACAATTTACAGAGATTCAATGGTAGAGAAGATTCCAAGAAGCAAATCAACAGACCTAGTTGGTGCTACCAAAGACACTAGGCCCAAATGCCCTACTTCCCAGTGGAGCTCAGGCCTATCAGCCTACCCAGGCAAAACGGGAGGCCAGATAGTGAGTAGCATGGAAATCCATTATTTTTCTACCTTAAGAGTAAAGAACTTACTCAAATGCATATCTGAGAACTACAAGCAGAACTAGATATTAAGACTGCTGCTTGGGGAATCTGCTATCATTAACATATAAATAGTATTTCTAACTTGACTGAAAAAGCTGTTAATGATGTTCTAGTGAAAGAAATTCTTAACTAATCTACATACAATCTACATAGCACAAAAATTCAATCCATCACTATTATTAAATTCTAAATTATGAGGTCAGGATTCAGATGATTTTTATCTGTATCTGGTTACTTAAGGTCCTAAGTTTGATATACCTAAGCAACATTTTTCATTTTTGCTAGTTCCTACTGGTCTAGTGCAGTGGTCAGCAAACTCATTAGTCAAAAGAGCCAATTATAAACAGTACTACAATTGAAATTTCTTTTGAGAGCCAAATTTTTTAAACTTAAACTTCTTCTAACATCACTTCTTCAAAATAGACTGGCCCAGGCCGTGGTAGAGTCACACTCAAGGGGCAAAAGAGCCGCATGTGGCTCGCGAGCTGCAGTTTGCTGACCACAGGTCTAGTACAATAGATTCAGCACTTTCACTTGTTGTACCCAAGTATGACTTTACACTTGCTCCAAAAATTTTTTGTGAAACTATTTTTACATTTTATTGAGATTATTTTAAGCTTTATACTAGTCTCCCAAAAATAAGCTGCCCTGCACAAGCATTGAACAACCTATAAAAATAATTTATCAGGTGTTGAAATTGGTAATGGAAAAGCAGTTCACCTCCAAGCAGTTCAGATCTTAAAATAGTTATACACTTAAAATATAAAGGAATGTATTTTCAGTTTTGTTTTGCTTTGAAACTACAACTGACAAGAAAAACCAGATACCTCATCATAAGATGCCATAAAGCATCAAATAAAATTTTTAGAAATTTGCCGCTGTATATAAATAAGTTAATTCTTACATACTCTAAGTTAATTGTGAGACAAATTGAAAGTTTGTTGAAAGTTCCCAAATAAAAAATAAAGGTTTTGCAAGCATTCTATTTTCTTAAAACTCACTTGGTCAAACCATCCCTATAATCTATTATCTCAAAAAGCATTTAATTGGGGCTTATCTATAATGTAACTTTTTAATTGCTACAAAATCAGGAGGTATAAAAACTTTTCTATACAAACAATCCAATACAACCCGGTGAAATCTTGGGAATGTAAGGAGATATGAAAGATAGGTACCTCGTAGTTTGAGAGAAAATCTAGTAACTCTGATTGAGATGGGATGTACTGAAGTGGTTTCATCACCCGGCGGACAAACTTCTCAATGTAAACAGCACTCATGGGGCCTTTGTATTCGATTGGTCCAAAACTAGTACCAAAAAAAAAATAAAAAATAACAAGAATACACCATGCATTAAACCTGTAATGTATAACTGAAATCATTAACAACAAAAAATGAAAAGGTCCTGCTTTAAGATCCTGACTGAGAAGTTCTTTGTCTCAGGGGGCAACTGAAGAGCCAATTAAGAAGCATTTATGTGAGGAAAGATACAGAAGCCATTACAAACAATCTCTGAAAATCAAATTAATTCCCGCAATATTTCCTTAAAAAAAACAAAATAGAAAGGCAACCTTGGAAACTGGCCAAAACCTAAAGGATTCCAGGATCTGAACCACACAATTCAATGTAGAGGTGCAAGCTTTCCATTGAGCAGTTGGCCCTTAGCCTACTAAAAAACGGTTATTAAATATTCCCAACCTAGCCATTTTGGCTCAGTGGATAGAGCATCAGCCTGCTGACTGAAGGGTCATGGGTTTGATTCTGGTCAAGGGCATGCCTGGGTTGTGGATTCAATCCCCAGCGGGGGGTGTACAGGAGGCAGCCAATCAATGATTTTCTCTAATCATTGATGTTTCTATCTCTCTCTTCCTGAGATCAATATATATATATATATATATATATATATATATGTGTGTGTGTGTGTGTGTGTGTGTGTGTGTGTGTGTGTATATATATATATATATATGCTAATATGCTAAGTATCTATCTGGGTAATAATGTTACATAAGAACTTCCTCTCCATAGCAACTAGTCTCCTTGCAGTTTCTTCAGCTCAGGAATACAACTTGCTTTATAGCCAGGTGCAAACATTTTACACTGTAACCAAATGTCTGTGAAGCATTTTCCCATGCCTCATCTCATTTGATCCTCACAGAAATCCTGGAAAAGGTAGAAAGGAGAGTAGGTGGAATCCTATTTTCTTTTCATTAGCCGGAAAAGGGAAATTTAGAAAGCTTAGAAACTTGACACAACTGAAATGAAAAAATGGTGGACCTTGAAAATGACTTCAGGTTTTCTCACTGCATAGAATACAATCAAACACTGCTGCAGTTAAATATTTTACCCTTTGTTCTCCCTGTGGGATCTACAATAATAATCTACTTCATGTTGATATTTACTACTGTATTGCTTACAATTACCTGAAAGAGAAGTTGGGGTGCTTCACTGAGCTGAAAAAAGTTTAGCTAAATCTAAAAGCAGATCTAATTAAGCAAGTTTATTCTATATATATAAAAGGCTAAGTTGACTCATGCATGTATGATACATATAATGCTCTTGCTGGCACCAATCGCATGTGTGTTTCAATATGGCACTATCGATCATGAAATTGGTTGACACTTCTATTATAGAGAAAGGACAAACAGCAATATTAAAATATTTCTTCTAATTAATTCCCTTTCAATGTGCACAAATTCAAGCACTGAGCCACTAATATTAATTAAAAATTAAAAATATTCACATAGGCATTTATACAAAGGATCACTAATTGAACCTTAAACCTAGTTAGAGCTTTATTACAACAAAAAATTATGTGATGGATCAAGTCAGGAGCCTGTATAAATGATTTTCCATTCCAGTTGTATTAGGGGATGCATAAGAAGTTGATTTGGTATTGTTAAGAATACTATTAACACTCAGTTAACCTCCTAATAAGCTGATCAGAATCCTCAAATGGCTTTCTTTGATATTGTGCAATACCAACAGATATTGCTCAAATATAAATGGATGGTATGTGGAGTGGATAAGAAATAGAGTGACATTCAGCAACTCCATAAACATTCTTCTCTCTAAACAGAAACTGATATTAAGCTTACTGTTAATAGCAAGCATAGATAGAGCACAATAAAGAATTATATAAATGCTATGGTCATAATAATATAATATTTAATTATAGAAATTAACACACATATAATGTGATAAGATAAACACAATTCTTCAGTTTGTACTGCAGAATATGATGCAAAGAAATATTAGCATAAAAAAGTAAAAATAGCATTCTACGTGCACAACTGGGAGACAGTTAAGAATTCCATAAGTCAAGACTTATTACAACTAATTTAATTTTAACAATTAGTTTAAAATCACCACTAGCCCTAGCCAGTTTGGCTCAGTGGATAGCGCATTGGCCTGTGGACCAAAGGGTGTCAAGTTCGATTCTGGTCAAGAGCATATGCCTTGGTTGCCGGCACATCCCCAGTGAGGGCTGTGCTGGAGACAGCTGATTAATGTTTCTCTTTCATCGATGTTTCTAACTCTCTATCCCTCTCCCTTCCTCTTTGTAAAAATTCAATAAAACATATATTAAAAAAAATTTTAAAGGAAGAAATAAAAATCATCTGATAACTTATTTTATTTAGCAAAAAGGAGGCAACCAATCTGGAAACCTCATCTATTCAAGCAAACAGGCTCTGCTGAATTTTACAGAATCCCAGTACTTGTAATGAGAAGAACCCAGAATGCAGGATGGGGGACATGTTTTAGCAACATGCTATTGTCATTGCTGTAGGACAAGCTGACGTAGGCCTGCTTAACTCCATATAGTGTTTTGAGAAACTACTGCCTCAGAGCCTTTATAACTAGTATTAATACAAGCCAAAAAAAAAAAAAAATGGAATCTATGCTCCCTTCGGCAACACATATACTTTTTTAAAAAAAAGTGGAATCTAGTTTCACAAAACAGAAAAATCTATTAATTTATTTAAGCAGCTACAACTAGGTAAGTCATTATACAAACAGAAACAACACACACAACAGTCTATCCAGTGATGAGACAGACTCAAGGTTCACATTTGCAAGCACATTAACCAAAAAAAAATCTCCAAGACTACCAAATACTAACAAGAGAGTTTAGTTAAAGAAACACATTCATTCATATGTGTTTCATGTAAAATAGAGGGCTTGGAGATTCTTAAATAGAATATGAAAAGGCTACCTTTCTGATATTTCTGTGCTTTAGCACTTTCTTCTGTTTTTGAGACATTGGGAATGACTTAAACAAGAAAAAATTTAACACATAAAGATGAGGGGCAAACACTTCAAGATGAATACTAACCTCAAATTCCTCATCTATATAATTAGAAGAGTGGACTAGATTTTTCTAAAGTTCCTTCCATGCCTTTTCAATCTTTCTATAAAACTAAGAAAACAAACAGCGTAAGACAACAATGCACACGCCACATAAACCAAAATGACATTTTGTACTCTATTAAAGGGAATTCTTCTAATCTTACTGTCACATCACATTAAGTCCACCTCTGGCAACTGGTTTGGTTACATGTAGTTGCAAGTCTTTTATTCCCTGCTAGGCATCTGTGTCCTATTTCCTATTTCCAAGAAAAGAAATGCAGGAACCTTCATGAGGCAAGCTCATTATCCCTTTAACAGAACACAGAGTTTTAGAACCTTCAAGCAGAGCACCTTATACTTATCTTAAAAAACAAAAAAACGCAAAAACAGTCTATAAATAATTCTTTGGTAGCAGATTCACTGTGTAGTGTATATTCTATATAATCTAATAAGGAAAAAATTGGTCAGGTATTTTTAGGAAGTACCCTAAACCAGTCCTTTTATAGTTTATATTTATTAGCATTTTTATACACACACACACATAAACACACAAACACACGCACACCCAATCACCTCTAAATATCAGGATGCCTTAATCAATGATTCTCTCTCATCATTGATATTTCAATCTCTCTCCCTCTCCTTTCCTCTCAAAATCAATAAAAATATATATTTTAAATAAATAAATAAATAAAATGGAGCCCTAGCTCAAGCATATCAAACTCAAAGGCTAACATAGGCCAAATAAACAAGGTTTAAGTTTATATGGGCTGCAAAAAAAAAAACAAATAGAAATGTAGGTTTATTTTAATAGAGACATGCTGAATAAAAAGAGCTGAAATAAATGAGTAATCGTTTACATAAAATAATAGGGCATTTCAATAAAGTTAATATTTTTTCTTGAACATTAACTTACCAGACACTGAATAACGATACAAGACACACACACAAAAAAACTATTTTCCTTGTTCTTCAAAAGCAAAATATTTCCTGTTGCGCGTACCAAACAAATTAGTACAAGACAACTGATGTGGCAACTGGCTGCTAAAATATTAGCTGCTAGTATTAGTGGAGAGAAATAGTGCGCCTGCACATAAGGTGCGTGATTATAGTGATTCGTCACTAGCGAACATTGTAATTCATCATTAATCTTTATGTATAACAGAATATTGTAAAAATTAAGTCACGACACTTTTGTTAAGACGTTTCTTACACACCGTTATATTGGCTGGGCCGCATGCAAACCATGGGTTTGCCCCAGCTGGACTGGCTCAGTGGATAGGGCATTGGCCTGCGGACTGAAGGGTCCCAGGTTCGATCACGGTCAAGAGCACATGCCGGGTTGTGGGCTCGATCCCTAGTGTGGGGCTTGTAGGAGGCAGCCAATCAATGATTCTCTCTCATTATTGATATTTGTATCTTTCCCTCTCTCTTCCTCTCGGAAATCAATAAAAAATATATTTTTTTAAAAAGAAGGAACTATGAGCCGGGACCGGTTTGGCTCAGTGGATAGAGCGTCGGCTTGGGGACTGAAGGGTCCCGGGTTCGATTCCGGTCAAGGGCATGTACCTTGGTTGCGGGCATATCCCCGGTAGGGGGTGTGCAGGAGGCAGCTGATCGATGACTCTCTCTCATCGATGTTTCTAACTCTCTATCTCTCTCACTTCCTCTCTGTATAAAATCAATAAAATATATTTTAAAAAAAAAAGAAGGAACTATGAGAAAGTTCTTCTGAGAAAGTATTAACATGTCTAGAGGAAAATGTGAGGTTGAAAATGGGGTAGAAAAGTATGTTTTTGCCCAAATACTATTTACAACATTTTATGTTAAAATCATGGAAGTGTAATGGAATGTGACAGATAATCCACAATGGTAATTTGTTGATGTTTGTAATAAATCCCTATTAAGGTCCAAGAAGTTTGGAGGGAGGGGAAAAAATAAAATCTTAAAATAAAAAATAAAATCTTACTAATCATATCTTCTTTACCCATTTTACTTTCATTAACAAACTTTAAGACAACTACATTGAACAAAGTCCGAGTCCCATCTCATGTATCCAAAATCCTTTAAGACAAATTTTAGACATTACCCATAGCAATGGCCAGGCAGTACTCCAAAATCAAGCACCAATATTTTTCTACAGCAAAATGAATAAACTGGCACCTTAAGTGAGATAAAGCCTATAGACAGCCTCTTATTACTTTAGGCCAGATGAATGTATTTGGGGACAAATTTAGGTTTCCAGAGCTCTCTGGATTTCAGAATTATGGTTATAGAATTATAGACTTGTACTTTTCTTCCCAGTTGTAAAGATGGTAAGATACCCTCTTGATTATGCGATTATGCCAACTAACAGGATAAAGATTTTTATTTATTTTTATACCACAAAACACTTTTGGAATATTTGAAATGTACAGCCACACAATGGAGTAACTATTACTATTAAAAATAATGCTTTAGAATATACGTAATGATATGAAACTTAAGAAAAATCAGTTTAGTCCATCTTTGTGGCTCAGTGGTTTATCATGAACCAAAAGGTCACGGTTTGATTTTCAGTCAGGGCACATGACTGGGTTCCAGGTTCAATCACCAGTAGCGGGCATAAACTATTTGCTATTTCTCTCTCTCTCTCCCCCATCTCCCTTACTCTCTGAAATCAATAAAAAAATATATTGAAAAAGAAAAAAGTTTAGGAAAGAATAGTACTATAGGGTAATGCTTTGTTTATTTTTAAAGAAGAGGATATATATATATATATATATATATATATATATATATATATATATATATGAATATAAGTCTAAACACATAATGATTATATATGGCTGATAAAATAATCCAGATCCTTTTGTCTATTTATTTTTGCTTATACATATTTTCTTAATCTAGCTAATATTTTAAATGGGAAAAAAATCACTTCAAAATTGATAAACTTAGTTGGAATTAGAAACATTATTTAAAATGTCTTACCTCCGATGATACAGATATATTACAGGAAAATAAAAAAAATGCTTCTTTTTTCTGCATCTCCCCTGGTTCCACCAACAGTTAATTGCCACAAACAACACCTGCAGAGCCAAAAAAGGTTTCAAATGACTATGAATAACAACTGAAAAACTACAAAAACTTAAAAGATAAAGTTGTAGCTATGGAACTATTCCTCTCTGAAACAGAAAGTATAAAAAAAATTGTTTTCAAGAATTCAAAGGTCATCACTGACTGCTGCAATAAAAAAGAAAGACTCCATTCTAGCCTGCCAACGAACAGGATAAAGACTTTTATTTATTTTTATACCACAAAACACTTTTAGAATATTTGAAATGTACAGCTAGGACTGAATATTTTGGAGTCTGGCCCAAGAGGAAAATGAATTCCTTTGAATTCTAAAGTGAATGAGCATCAGAGCTTTTTCTAAGCATGATTAACAAGAAAACTTAATAGAAAGATATGCCTTTTGATAGTCAAACCGAATATCTGAGAATGAAAAAAATATACAAATCAAACATCACAAATTTTAAGACCATTTCAAATGATTACATTAAAAACTAATAAAAATAACAGATGATTAAAGCTATTATATTTCTAAAATATAGGACTGAATAGAAAAAATATAGATTAAGTACATATTTATAGATGGATGCTGAAGTACTTAAGAAGTGTCCCTATGTCTACAATTTACTTTGAAATGGACCAAAAATAAGATGGATTAATAGTTAAATTGGTGCAAAGTTTTTCAAATTTGGCAGAATTGAAATTTTGAGATTAAATTGTTGTGAGGCTTTTTTCCTTGTTATGTTTGTTTTTGTTGTGAGGGCTGCTCTACAACAAAAGTAAACAAAGGGTGGTGTAGAATATTTAGCAGTCTCTTACCCACTAGATGCCACTAGTGTTCCCCTCTCAAGTACCAAAAAATCTCTCTTTACATTGCCAAAGGCCCCCTGCGGGGAGGGGGAAAAGACTGCCACTAGTTGAGATCCACTGATTAGAGGGATAAGATGGATAAATACATAATAAAATGTTAACAGTGGAATGTAAGTGGTAAGTATATAGAAAATTCCTTCACCTCCGCTATATGTTTAAAAACTTATAATTTGCACTGAAAAAAATATGAAGACTATAGTTATTTTAGATGGCTTATACTTATTAGATAGTAATATTGCTCAAACTTAGTGGAAACTTTTTACAGCTCCTTTTGGAGTCTATTCATGAGAAAGAAAAGCAAAATATCTTTACTTATGGGTGACATCTCATTTTTTTACCCAAAAATAAGGCAGAATCTACCATTTTACTAAGCAATGTGGCTCAAAATATTTTTGTCCATTTCTGAAAATAAACCTGCTCCTTTTTCCTACTGAGAACTTGGAAAGCAATTAGGAAAATTTAGGGGGAAAGGGAAAAGCAGTGCAGATCAGTTGTTTATGGCACTATGACCTCAATCATTTGTCCTGTGATCTTTAACAAACTGTTGTGCCCTCTAAATCTGAGGTCTTGCCTCAGAAGAACAGGAAAACCAGTATCAGCTTACAGAGCTGTTGTGAGGAACAGCATAGGGCTAGGCACTCCCAAATACTATTCCTATGTAATCACTTTATCCGTTAGGCCACACGGTCCTCTCCTATGTAATCACTTTAAAGGGCATATTGCTTAAGTTGATAATCCTATATAATAAAACCTAATATGCAAATTGTCCCCTCAGGAGTTTGACCACTCGCTATGACGAGCAATGACCACCAGGGGGCGGCACAGAACACGGTGAGCAGCGCTGGCAGTGGGCAGCAGTATAAGTGCCCATATGGGAGTGGGACCGCAATAGCATGGTGGAGCAGGTGAGTGGGTGGTGCCAGGCCAAGGTGGGAACAAGCAGGAGCCTGATCGCCCTGCAGACTGCAACCAGCAGTGGGGGGGGGGGGGGGGGGTGTGCAGCCACCACCCAGCTCAGAGGCATTGAGGAAGCCAGGTGGGGGCCTGAGCAGGTGAGGGGGTGGTGCCAGGCCACAGTGGGGTGCCAGGCAGGGTTGGGGGAGCAAGCTGGGGCCCAATCCCCACAGGCCACCCTGAGGGACCCCACCCGTGCACAAATTCATGCACTGGGCCTCTAGTAAAATAATAAGTGATTGATACTCTAATATATATTCTTCACTTGTTCTCTAAATTCAGAAAATTTGGGGAATGACTGGCAAAGTGGTGATTTCCTTCACGCTAATATACTACTTGCCTCACAGTGCTCCATTACAGTTCCTGTTTCCTGCCTGGAAGTATCTGCCAGTTTGGTTACTATTCGCCATTTAAAAGGGGGAGGGTGTGTAAAGGAAAGACGGGAATAGATTAAATCCATTGACCCACAGTTGGAACACAAAATCATATCCCACCCCAAAGAATCAGTGTTAAGGGAATGAAGAGTTATAAACAGTAATTGGTACTCCATTCGGGGATATATAATGGTTTAAAATGCTTTACTAGGCTGAGAAGGAAGTCTAGTCACCATTTAAAACACTGTTTCGAAGAGTCTTTTCCTTTTTTACTAAAACACTGTTTCGAAGAAAAGCCAACTGAGAGTTCCAAATGAACTTCTGGAACTCAGCTGCCTGCTTAAGTAACCTCAGATCAGTAGATCCCAACAGCAGCCTTTTAGAAGTCTGTGGATGCTTTTTAGTGAATTGCAATGACTAGGGAAAGGAGGGAGGGGGCAGTGGGGTCAGGAAGACTACAAGGCACGTGGTGGGGGCTGGGCAGGGGCTGCGGTAGATATCCTGCAATGTTCAAAATTGTTCTGCAAGGGAAGATTCATTCCAGAGCAGTTTTAAAATGCCCTGCCCAACACAGATGTTGAGGAAAACCCATTTGTTATTATTAGAGCCCAGAACCTAATTCCATTTTATATGTGAAACCAAAACATGGTTTTTTTATACACTGAATTTCTTAGAAGGCAATTTCTGTGTCACCTGAGGGCAAAAAGTACTTTGATTAGTTTAGAACTTTACCAACAGCTGTCCATTGTTTAGAAAAATCAAAATCACCGAGTGCAATGCCCCCATGGTATCTAAGTCCAACACGTACCTTTATCAATCTACATTTGTAACTGTTCCATCCATAGTAACTCTATATAAAGGTACAAGGATCTATTTTGTCCAAGCATTTACAAACTCAAACACATATGATTTAATTATATATGACTTTGCTCCCTTCTCCCTTTAAGTTTAAATAGTTCATTAGATTAACTATTTTGAAATTTTATGTGTAGGAAGTTTTTCTTTTCTATGAATTCCTTTTTAAGGCATAAAAAGGAATAAATATCAAATACTTGTTTTATAAAAAGCAACTGAGATCCATCTGGTTTAAAACCACTGTCACTGATAACTCATATGCCTATATATCCCTCTTATCTATTATAAAGGTTGCATTCGTTCATTAAATATCTATTACAGTTCTGGTCCAAGTACGGGTATTTAAATGTCAGACAGCTACACTGTAGTCATAATGAATAAATTTCTCCTAAATAAAATACTTAACTAGCAAATATCAAAGAGATAATCAACTAGGACGTTCAGTTCCCCACCTACTTCAACACAAAAACTAAATAGCATGGCACCTGGAAATGAGCGCTGGCTTAGTCACAGGATGCAGAATCTGTTTTCCCTCCTGCTGCTAACTGATTAGGATCATCACAGTCAGAAATCCTTTGTTTCTTTATAGAAGGCTTTAGAATTTTAAAAATGCTCCTGGTCTTCACCTTGGCAAAATCAGCCAGTTGGTAAATTGTCTCTATAGGGACAATCTGCTATGCAACAGGACTGACAGTTCTTAGGCCAAATGTCAGCATTACCTGGTCTGAAAGCTGAGTCGCTGCTTGATCAACTTCTGCCCTGGCAGCGATGGACTGTCCACACCATGGGGCATAGAAGAACAGCAGCACCACCTCTGAATCCTGGCGAAGATACTCTGCATAGTCCAGCTGACCCTGGAAGAGGTCAATAACCGGAGACCTCGAGGAGAAAAAGCTGACAGGTGGCTTTGCTGGTATTATCACATCTTTTGCTCGACTAAAAAAGAGTAAACAAAAACAAGATCACTAAGTTTATTTTCTCCAACAACAGCTTCATGTGGAAAGAGAATGAAACTTAAATATTCTGCAATAAGGTAATGTGGCTGAGAAAATGAAGATATGAAATATGCTAGAAATTATTCTATAATATTGTCTCCCCACATGTGAAGTGGGAAGTTAGTGAAGAGCAGAGAAGAATATCTTTGAGTAATCCACATTCTTGCCTCCACACCCAAGATTCACCTCACCTCTCTGCAATCTTTTTTTCCCAAGTTTAATAAATCTTTATTGCTCAGATTATTACAACTGTTTCTCCTTTTCCCCCACGTAGCTCCCTTCCACCCAGTTCCCACCCCACCCTTTGCCCTTACCTCCCCCCTCCCAATGTCCTCATCCATAGGTGTACGATTTTAATCCAGTCTCTTCCTGCATCCCCTACACTCCTTTCCCCCTGATAATTATCAATCCACTCTCTTTCTTTGCCCCTGATCTCTGCAATCCTGTTCTCCACAGGAGTCACTGATCTCCAGGACTTCAGAGCCACCAGGTAAGCTTGCTCAGAAGTAAGGAGAGGGAACACATGTGGCTACTGCTAATAAGATTTCTATATGAAATGCTTACAATCAATTCAACTTTGAGAAAACTTAAAAGTGTATTAACTGAAGTTGATTGGAGGGGCAGGACAGGTGGGGGGGAGCTATGGGAGGTTGGCCAGCTGGCCCCACCCACCAAACAGGCCTGTTCACCGGCCGCAGTGGGCATTATAGTATCAGTCATTCTGGTCATTACAGCTTTCCGGTAGCTGGCTTTTATATATATATAAAAAATTACTTTTCATACAAATGTAAACCTACTTTTGCCTACCTTCTATAATATGAATGCATTTATATGAAATCCCAAAACAAAGCTAATCTATAATGAAATAAATCAGCATCAGTGATTATCTAGACTGGAGAGTGGAGAAGAAACTAACTGCAAACGGTACTGAGAAAATTTTCTCTCACCCTATTGGTTGCTTTCATACATCTCACCTCATTCTGTTACTTATTTTACCATTTTATTATTTATTTACTCTACAAGATAGATCATTAACTCCATAAGGACAAGGACATTATCTTTTGCAGTTAGATCCTCATTGTTTAGTAGCTGCTGTTACTATGAAGTTCAGTAACTTGTGAAATGAACAAACCTCCCCTACTTACCTCACCTAAACATATGTGAAAGAAAATTAAATATAAATCCAGACATATTCTACATAATAAAAGGGTAATATGCAAATTGACCCTAATGGCTGAATGACACGCTATGATGCACACTGACCACCAGGGGGCAGATGCTCAATGCAGGAGCTGCCCCTGGTGGTCAGTGCACTCCTACAGTGGGGAGCTCAGCCAAAGCCGGGCTGAAGTCTGTGAGCACAGTGGTGGTGGAGGGAGCCTCTCTCGCCTCTGCAGCAGCACTAAGGATGTCCAAGTGATGGCTTAGACCCACTTCCCACTAGGCCTAAGCCGTCAGTTGGACATCCCTCGAGGTTCCGGGACTACAAGGAGTGCAGGTTGGGCTGAAGGACCCCCTCCAGTGCACACTGGGCCTCTAGTGTTATTAAGAACAGTCTGAAAGAATCCAAGTGTCAGAAGGCCTATTTGCATTCCTAGGTGTGATTCCGAGGGATGCATAATTGCGCTTTAACTTTACAGGTGTGCAAATGAATTTGATAATTCAGTTTCTCAGAAAATAGCCAAGTATAATCAATCCTCTGTATCTCTGGGTTCCACATTGATGGATTTAATCAATCTTGGACCAAAAATATTCTTTTTAAAAATGTTACATTGTTGATGATGTGTACTACATAGTTAGGCCTACCATGGTTATGTTTGTACTGAACATGTACATACTTTTTCTCTTATTGGTATTTACTCAACAATACAGTATAACAACTATTTATGTAGCATTTACATTGAATTAGGTATTATAAGTAATCTAGAATTACTTAAATATATGGAAGGCTGTGGGTAGGTAATATGCAAATACTATACCACTTTACATAAAGGATTTGAGCATCCAAGGACGTGGGTATCCGAAGGTGATCCTGGAATCAAGTCCCTGCACATACCAATGGAAGACTGTAGTAGGAAGGAGGAATGTGAGGGAAGGTACTGACAAGTCTGAGATATGCAGCTGACTGCAAAAAAGAAACATATATCTTCCTAGCCGGTTTGCTCAGTGTATGGAGCATCAGCCTGCAGACTCAAGGGTCCCAGGTTCGATTCTGATCAAGGGCATGTGCCCAGGTTGCGGGCTCAGTCTCCAGTAGGAGGCATGCAGGGGGCAGCCAATCAATAATTCCCTCTCATCATTGATGTTTCTATCTCTTTCTTCCTTTCCCCTCCTCTCTGAAATCAATAAAAACATATTTTTTTTTTTAAAAAGAAGCATATATCAACACCTAAGACTTCGAACTAAGCTACTCTAAAAGCCTTGGGTCATTTAGTATGAGGAAAAGAGTCCCAGATTCTCCTCTGCATCTAAAAGGTGTTAACTTTCTGAATTATGAAGACAGTTTTAAATATGTCACTTAATTATTTTAACCAAAAATTATTAACATCATAAATGTGCTAAAAGTTGGAGCAAATATATTTATTAACTCAAACTAACATTTTAACCTTGCAATCAGGGAGCTTGTCTAAATAAAATATCTTCATTAAAAAAAAACCTCGTGGCATAGGTAAATACCTAAACTGCTTCCTTGCATAACAATTTCAAAACTACAAACAAAAGACAAAACGTCTATCACCCAAAACCACAGGAAAGCAGGTTGAGTGGAAGTTCTACAACTAGAAGGAAAGAAAAAAGAGCACTGAGATGTGCACAAGTGCTGAAAAGCTGAGGTTCGGAGGCATGCGAATCAGGCTGGCAGTGGGCAACTGAATGCACTGCTTTTTCAACCAGAAGGGAGACAAGCTCCCGATTACTCTGAACTCCAGTTTTTGGGGAGACGCTGGAGACCCAAACTCCTATGGGGAGCTGTACTGTATGCCATCTGCTTGGAAAGTGAAGGCGGCTTACTTGAAGATGTGCGTGCAGCAATCATTGTTTATTGCACTGGGGCACAGGATGCGGGGACTTGGAAACACGGACACACAGAGACGGCTGACTGGCAGCCATCACTGTTTGCCAAGCACTAGCCTAGTGACTCCCTGAGACCCGGCCCTGCACAATCTACAAACCCACCCAAGCTCCACGTAGCTGCTTTTGCATATAAATGGCCTGCCCTATCGCAGTTTAACCTAATAAGCTGCAGCTCTGGTCAGACAGCTCCAAAACCTCCAAACCCCAAGCAAGAAAAGAAAACTGTAGTTCTTGCTATAGCTCCTGCCGAGTGGCCTCAGACAGTAGCGGAACTGCACCGCAGTGGAGGTCCAGAAGCTAGTGTATCTACTGGTCAGTGTGAAATGACACCAGGTTTCAACTACTCACATCCATAAGCAACACACTCAAGAGGCAGATTCAGTGAGCACCAAAGCCCCACTGAAACAAGTCCTACCCCATAAGCATATCTCCAGCACAGCAGTTCTTCCATTATAGACACAGCAGGTCTTCACAGCCAATTGGCCTGGAGGTCAATTCCTCCCAGTGATACCAACAACAATCAAGACTTAACTACAACAAGGCTGTACACACAGTCCACAAAGGGTGCACCAAGAGTGTCCACCTCAGGTAACTGGGAGGCTGACCCACTGAGCCATATAGGACACCTAGCACACAAAGCCACCCTACCAACTCAGGGAAGCAGCGAAAATGTAGAGACAAAGAAACAGATCACAAAAGAAAGAAATGGAGGAAAACAAACAATTGGATATAGAGTTCAAAACCATAGTTACAGGATTTTTCAAGAATTTCCTAGAAAAGGCCAATAAATTTAACGAGACCCTCGAGGATATGAAAAAGGACCAACTAGAAATTAAACATACATTGACTGAAATAAAAAAACATTATACAGAGATCCAACAGCAGACTAGAACAACACAAAAATCAACTCAAAGATTTGAAATACAAAGAAGCAAAAAATACTCAACTGGGAAAGAAAAAAGAATCCAGAAATTTGAAGACAGTGTAAGAAGCCTCTGGGCAACTTCAAGCATACCAACATCATAATTATGAAGGTGCCAGAAAAAGAGAGCAATACTGAAAACCTATTTGAAGAAATAATGTCAGAAAACTTCCCCCACCTGGCAAAAGAAATAGACTTACAAGTCCAGAAAGCACACAGAACCCCAAACAAAAGGAATCCAAAGAGGACCACACCAAGACATATCATAATAAAAATGCCAAAAACAAAAGACAAAGAGAGATTATTAAAAGCAGCAAGAGAAAAACAATTAATTACTTATAAGGAAGCACCCATACTACTATCAGCTGATTTCTCAACAAAAACTGTTGGGAGCCATCAGAGTTGAGACTTGCAACTCCATCTTAAGGAAATAGAATTAAGTTCCTTCTAGCAGAAGTGCCCTGAGGGTTTGGCCAGAAGCTATTAACCTGCTGCTTAGCATCTCTGCAACTTCCCCTTCCTGATCCTCCCCCATAGCTAGCCCAGCCTTGGAATGTTACACCTTGGAATGTTACGCTGTCCTGGCAGTTAGCCAATCCTGTGTTGCCAGATACCTTACCACCTTGCCACTCAGTGCCTAAACCAATTATACACTGCCAAAGACCCCTCTGCGTAGGCAACCCTGCCCCCCCTTTGTTCCTGCTGTATATATACTGCTATTTCAAAAAATAAAGTTTGAGGCTTGATCAGAATTTTGTCTTGCCTCCCTTCTTCGCGTTCCTAGTTTGCTTCATTCTCTTAGGTGGTTTCCACGTGCCCTCGTTGTTGCCCCGCACGTCGGGGGAGGGGGGGGACTATGCAGGCCAGACAGGAGTGGCAAGAAATATTCAAAGATGAATAGCAAGAACCTACAACTAAGATTATTCTATCCAGCAAAGCTATCATTC